CATCGGCCGCCGCCTTGAGCTGCTCCTCGAGTGCCGCCACCGCCGCCTCGGCCGTGCGCAGCTCTTGGCGCAGCTCAATGCTCGCATCGGCGGACGTCGCCGCGCTCTCGTGGACCATCTGGGCGACGGCAGCGCTCTTCGCCATGGCCAGGATCTCCTCGTGGTCTGCGCGAAGCTCTGCGCCCTCCAACTCTGCCGCCGTCGCTCTTCTCGCCGCCTCGGCCGCCGCTGCCTCGGCCGCCAACGCGCGCATCTCGGCCGCCTCCACGGCCGCCGCCGCCGCCGCCGCCTCCGCCTCTGCCGCAGTGGCGCGCGCCTCAGTCTTGCTCAGCTTGGATATCGTGCTCAGCTTGCTGCCCAACTTGCTGCCCAGCTTGCTCTCATCGCGCGGGGTGGCAATCGCGGCTTTGCGCAGCCATGTCTGAGCCTCGCTCGCCTCGCTCGCCTCCCCGTTTGCCCGCGGCGGGGGCGGCGGTGGCGGCGGACGTGGCTGAGGAGGGGGAGGAGGCGTGAGTCGATTTCGTGGTGACGGTGGCAGCGGTTGACGCCTGGCCCGCCAGCGAGCAAGGTGCTCCTGCAGCAGGCAGACAGCGAGCACCTGAGCTTTCGAGCCTACGACTTCTGGGAGCTCCTCCGTCGTCATGATATCGGGAGCTGAGACCCAGATAGGGGGCATGCACTGTGCCCAGTTATTTGGCGCCGGCCGTCGGCGGGCGTGCACACGAGAGGAAGAATTTTGCGAAGCACCTCCCTCGCACAACACTGGGCGCCGAAAGGCGAAAGAAGCCGCGAGAACAAGGGACCGGCGGGCGGCGGCGTCACAGGACGAGGCAGAAGAGAACGACGCGACAGAGGAGGAAATGACAAGGGAGAGAACGACGAGAGTGGGACGACCGCGAGGTGGCATGAAGGTTGCAGCGAGAATCGGCGAGAGACTGCGAAGAGAGATAGGAAGAGGCAGACTCCCTAGGGTGGGCGACGGCTAGCGCACCACACACCTCTCCTTAAAATCCCTGTGTGGTGGCGGCGTGCCGTTCTCCCATCCCTCCCTTGGGTTGTCTGTTTTCTTTCTTTCTTTTTACACTGGGCACGGGAGGAAGAATTTAAACACGACACGAGAGGAAGAATTCTACGAACACAAGCCCCTCTCACAGCAGACTGGCACGAACTAGATACCTCAGGTCAACCTCAAGGGATCCATTGGCGGCTTCGCCACCCACCGACACACACGCCTACTACGTGCCATACGACAACGGCGCGTACAGCGTCTACGCGGCGCGCGTCTCGCTCTCCGACTCTTTCTTCCTCCTCGGGCGTCGACAACGACTCCATCCTGAAGGGATCCATTGGCGGCTTCGCCACCGACACAACACTAGACGAGAGGAAGAATTCTTAAGCCCAACACTGTGGGGGACTATCGACTATCTCGCGCACTGCACTAAAGATAAAAAGAAGTTAATTTTACCTGTGACGATTTTCGCCTACTCAGGGGGCCCTAGATGGCCTCTCGAATGGTTCGTCACGCGGGGCGGGGCGCCACCCATCGCAGTACGCCCTCAGCCGCTCCACATAGCGCGCCTTGGTCGCGCCGTCCACAAAGCACGCCTCGAGCGAGTTGCGCGCGAGGATCACGCACTCGTCGGCGGTGAGGCCGCAATCGCGCGCCGCATACAGGTAGTTGGACGCAACGAAACCGTCGTATGTGGCCTCATCGAGCGCTCGGGACGCCGCGTCGACCCTGCCCAACGAGAAGTACGCCGGATCATCCGAGTTGAGCGTCACCTGAAGGCGAGGCGATGCAGCTGCCGGTTGAGGGCCGTCAGCGCCCGCCATGAGCGAACGGCCGAGACGACCGGGCGACAGACTGCAGTGGCCGTCTGGAGCACGGGTGCGGCTGCGTTGGCGGCTGTCACAATGCGCCTGGTCGCCCGCCTCGGGTCTCGGGTGTGTCTCTTGGGTGTGTCTCGCCTTGACGCCCGCCTCGAGCAGCGGACGCACCGGACACGCGCCGCAGAAGAAGCGCGCCTTTGCGGTCAAAAGCTCAAGAATCGCCCCCACGCGCCTCTCGCCGCGGCGTCAGCGGTGGGTGTGCGCCTGGATCTGCATGCGGAGGTTGGAGAGCGGGCAGACGGTGAGCGGCGTGCCCTGCCTGGCGAGCCGCGCGACGACGGACGCGTCCTCGAGGGAGCGAACCCCGTGGTCGACCCTCTCGACCTACCCACGCGCCATCCGCCGTTGTGTGAGACGCCGTCCCGCAGCATGGCCGCCGCACGCGGCCCTCCCCAGCCTGCAGCGTGTCCAGCGCCATCGCCACGTTCGCCGCGCCCTCCTCCTCGCCGGCGTGGCAGACCTGCTCATGCACCCTGCCGTGAAGACACGCTGCCGTGAAGAACCGCCGTCCACAGGCCCGCTCTCTTCAGCCCGCCCCTTGGTGGCAATCTCAGGTGCTCTCGGGGTTGTCTCACCAGCCGCAGCCCCGCCTCTTTTGCCCGGCGGTACGCGGGCAGGAAGCGCGAGGTCGAGCCAGGGCCAAACGGCCTGCGGTGGCGCGCGGGGCATTCAGCGAGGAGGGCGGCGGCGACGGCGGCCACGGAGGCGATGGCGGCCAGGGCGGTGGCATTGGCGGCGGTTACTACGGTGGTGATGGAGGTGGTGATGGAGGTAGGACGCAGTCGGGCCGCCGCCGCGCTCTGTGTGCCCGCGCGCCCCGTCCCGTTGTCCTGCCCGACGCCGACGATCTTGCTGACGTTGCCCGGCTTGAGCGCCTCGTCTAGCACCGCCATCGCCTCCTCGAGCGAGCGGTCCTGCAGGAAGGAGAGGATGAGGGCAGATTCGACGCCGAACGCCTAAAATCATAAGGCAACCGTCACCCCGAAACCCGATCCCACAACAGCCAACCACACGACGAGTGCCTCGCGGCCGTCCTCCGCCGCGCGCCACAAGCCACTGAGGACCGTGCCGTACGGCAGCTTGGCGGGGCCCACGCCGGTCGGGTCTCGCGCCGCCTGTGCGAAGTTTCAGGGAAGGTTGAGGGAAGCTTCTAGGCGGCGGGCCCCACGGACTCGCGCCGCCGCGCGGCATCATGTCTCGGCTACATCTCTGCCGTACCTCTGCTGCATCTCTGACGTGCCATGCTGCATCTCAGCTGCATCTCTGCATCTCGGTTGCCGGGTCGGCAGCGCTGCCCGAGACGTCACCGAAGCAGTGCGTCTGCGGGTCGAAGAAGATCTCGGCGCGGACGACGCCGTCGGCAGCCGCTCGACGGAGGTAGTCGGTCATCACGTCATAGAAGTCCTGCCGAG